TCCGCACGTAGTTTTGTCTGCAGTATTCCAAGGCCTCAATCCATGTGTTTTCCTTCTGCACCAGGATCAGCTCAAAGACCTCCATACAATAAAACGGTATAGATAAAAAGCAAGTGGCATCATGCATTTTACCATTTGATTTTAGGACAGCAGCACATTGCTCATGCAAAGCATCAGGTTGTCCAGCATCCCACATGACATTAGATGCATTCTCACCTCCGCTCCATTTCCACAGCAGTGGGCTTTGGGAATCTCTCTGAAGTCCAATCCAGAAATATTCAGAAGTGATCTTTGGATTCGCAGAGAGTAGTTTCACTTCTATATTGCTGGCGATGGAGAGGTCATAATGGTACTTTCTGCAGTACAGTTGTGCATCTGTCCATGTCATGTTCTCATTCACATAAATGTGTCGTATGTAGAGGCTTGTGTTCACAATAAAAAAAACACAAAAACAGAAACACAGTCACTGTAGCCTTCATTGCCATATTGCCAATGTGTCCAGTGTTGGAACATCAGCAGAAATGCAGTTTTCCAGTCCGCATTTATTTATTAACAATGATTTGATGCCACACCTCTCCATTGATTTTCTACATAACCGACCAATGAAAAGCAGCCCTGACCAATTAAAGGTTTGTCCTCCCCTTTTCTCCTGCATTGCACACCCCACCATTGAGAAAGGTAGGCCTATATACTGTATCACAGGACAAAAACAAAATGTGATTTGCCTTACAAATGTGTGAAGGAAGTGGAAATTAACTATATCTTTCATATTGTAATTTTCATTGATCATCACTCTTCATTTCTATACTCAACTACTCAAAATGTACGAACATTTTCATGCTGCTACGTCCGACAAGCTACGGCGTGCTTACGCCACACATCATGTTCTAACGCAGTGAAAAATATATTGCGGAGCAAAGAGGACACTGACAAAAACAAATTCACATTTTTTAAAAGAAATTCTAACTATAAACATCGTTTTGTGGCTCTTTAATGTGTCGTGACAGATTGCTGTAGCGCCTCAGTTCAAGCGGCACGTGAACCGATCATCTCTTCTACTATTTAGTTCACGAAATAAACATGAATGAACATCAGAAGGAATTTTGTTTCAACCACGGAAAGACGTCAATACACACCATTTTTCAAATTCAAATCTACCGACATTAATCTACTCTCCTGTGACTGTCTGGTTGGTTTGTTTGTCGGACAAAATGGCAGATTCGGTATTATGATTGGTCAAATTTTCATTGATCATCACTCTTCATTTCTATACTCAACTACTCAAAATGTACGAACATTTTCATGCTGCTACGTCCGACAAGCTATGGCGTGCTTACGCCACACATCATGTTCTAACGCAGTGAAAAATATATTGCGGAGCAAAGAGGACACTGACAAAAACAAATTCACATTTTTTAAAAGAAATTCTAACTATAAACATCGTTTTGTGGCTCTTTAATGTGTCGTGACAGATTGCTGTAGCGCCTCAGTTCAAGCGGCACGTGAACCGATCATCTCTTCTACTATTTAGTTCACGAAATAAACATGAATGAACATCAGAAGGAATTTTGTTTCAACCACGGAAAGACGTCAATACACACCATTTTTCAAATTCAAATCTACCGACATTAATCTACTCTCCTGTGACTGTCTGGTTGGTTTGTTTGTCGGACAAAATGGCAGATTCGGTATTATGATTGGTCAGATCGCCTGTCAATCAAACTCTCGGGGAAGGGTTGATTCAAAAAGTCAGAATCCTGAGAATCAATGAGAATTGTGAGATATATTGCAATTACCATTGTGAGAAAAAAATTCAGAAATCTGAGTTGATATTTTGCTATTTTTTGGTCAGAATTGCGAGGAAAAAAATATGAATTTTATTTTTTAATTCATGGTGAAAATAAGCTTCCATATACAGTATATCCAAATGAAAAATCTCCTTAAAATATTACATATGTTCCGTTTGAGCCTGATTTGAACCATTTATTGAATGTTACAAAAAACTTTGTGGTTTCCTGTCTGTATGAATGTCAGTGTCAGTGGAAATGAGGATCCATCACATTATGTATGTACAGAGGGCGCCCCAGCATGTCTGTTCATACAAAAAAGTGGATATGATTTTAAATGACTGTATTTCACTAATGTTCTAATCCATTCTAAATATTTATCTTTAAAGTTTATTAAAACAACAATTTTCTGGAGCAACTATTTATTTTGTCTTGCTTGGTCTGACTTTAACTATTTATCTATCTATCTTTCATAAACTTAAGATACTTCTTTAGTTTTCTTTGTTAACTTAAACAGAGTTAGCAATACTTTAGCGGATGCTGTAAATAAAGGTGCCATTGAAACACTGGCCATTTTAAAAAGGCCCGAGAGGCAAATCAGAAGATGCAAAGAATTATCGTTTAACCTTTAAACTGCAGGACAACACGATTAGACAAATTTCCCTCAGAAACAAGTTTAATGGTCAAATGTTTCCTCATGTAAAAACAGGATTTGGTTACTGCGCATGTTTTCCGGCACATATTTGACATGAAGAATCAAAGATGGTGACGTGACTCAACATACTGTAAGATCTAAGATCTTTCAAAGCAGCTACCAGTACATCTACAATGACAGAATGCTTTCACAAATGTTATTTCTCATTTATTAAAGCGAGCACATTTTAATGTATTTAGATGGAAATTATTAATGTAATATAAAAGCAACAAATTAGGAAAATTGGGAAATTACACTGTTGACATTGGGGCATTTCAAATATGTAGAAATCTTTTTTCTCTCTTGCTGCATCTCATTCTGCTGTCTAGTTCCCTATCTCGTGAATCAGAAGGCCATGAACATTCAGTCCTGCATTAAAACATCACATCAACAACATCTTTGCTTATCATGTCTTTATTTCTGTTAAAATCAGTTTAGGCTATTTATTTTTCCCTATGTCTCAGTTTCATCCATCATTTCTTTTACAATTTCCCTTTAAGTCATTTGCTTCATAACATCATTGTTTGGGAAGTGACATAATTTTTGGTGTGAAAGCAACAGCCTAAGTACTTTCTCATTAAGCATTCTTTTCTTTAATTTGTAGTCTTAATTTGTTATTTTATATATCTTTTTGATCTGCATTTGTTGTGAGTTGTATATGTTTTTTTTAAGCATGTATAAATTATAAATCACATAATTCATCAGTGTTCCTGAGAGAAGTAGAGATCGGTAATCGAATCATTCTTTTGACTCTTTTCAATGAATCGGGGGAAACTTCACAAAACTAGACTCGAGTTCTCAAAAGAATGGTAAACGTACGTTGATTGTAGAAACAAAATGGTGCCAATGTTTTCTACGATCCTCTTGGGGATGCGATTCTTTTGGGAAACTATCAGGGTATCTTCCGATCATTCCATATCCATTTTAAAATAAAATAAAAAAATCGGACCGATCCGGGTCTCGGGTTTATCCTGAAGATTCGTTCGCAGAGGTAAACAACAAACTAGACTGGAGGTCAGTAAATGGCTTACTTTTTTGGTCTGTTGGTCCCACAAAGTTATCGTATTGCTTCAGAAGACTTGGAATATAGCACATACAGTCAAAAGGATTACTTTTATTACTTCTGAGTCCTTTTGTAAGTTTGAAACCTTCAAAACCAGAAGGCAGTTCCGTGTGGAAAGCGGAATTCCACTTTTGTGTTGCTACAGAAGCAAGAATGTCATGTGTCTAAAGTGACAGGGTGAGTAAATGATGACAAATTTAGCAGGTATAGCTTTTAAATATTAACTTTCTGCTAGATTTAGCCACTGAATTAGACGATCCCTTTACAAATTCAGACATTTCAGCAAATGCAAACGATTAAAATGACTCACACACGGGCTGTTTTTGATTGGCTAGTCAGTGTATGGAACATAGATAGTTATGATTCCGTTATGAGACAACAGCTTTAATATCCTCTTAAGAAAATGGTTCTAAATAGTGTCAGATTAGGGTTCTAGGAGATATAACATTTACATAACATTTTAAGTTTACTTTCATTAATATTATTATTTTTTTAAATAGTATTTATTAATATTGTTTTTACTCCTCTATCTGCCTGGTCTTATAATTTAATAATTAATTATGCATTTAGCAGACACTTTTAGCCAATGCTACTGACGGTGCATTCAGGCAATATATTTTTTTACCAGTATGTGTGTTCCCTGGGAATCGAACCCACTTTTTACTCCTCTATCTGCCTGGTCTTATAATATCTTGTAGCCTCTGTTAGGGATTAACTTTAAAGCAAGCTGTGTCAGTTAGGAACATTTATTTATTTATTTATTTGTTATTGACATGGAGAAACTCTAACAACAGTAACTGAATACATTAATAAATGATAACTGACACTGAACATGAATAAATACATAAAATACATAAAAAAAACACAAAATAGATGCAATAGAAGCAAAAAAAAAACTTGAAAAAAAGTCAATTTGAAATGACTTGATTGGGAACCCAGTTACAATTCAATAATGAAGAAGTAAAGAACTCTAAACATAAATGTGTGGAAAAACTTCCATCGTTATTGACATGGAGAAACTCTAACAACAGTAACTGAATATATTAATAAATGATAACTGACACTGAACATGAATAAATACATAAAATACATTAAAAAAACACAAAATAGATGCAATAGAAGCAAAAAAAAAAACTTGAAAAAAAGTCAATTTGAAATGACTTGATTGGGAACCCAGTTACAATTCAATAATGAAGAAGTAAAGAACTCTAAACATAAATGTGTGGAAAAACTTCCATCTTCAGGATGACATCTTTTTAAATAGAACTGTGTTAAGAACCTTTTAGAGTAGTTTTATTTAATGGTTTAAGAAAGCAAAATAAGTACAAACTAAAATAAGTATTCAGACAGAAAGATTAACCTATAGCACATCTATGTTAACTAATTAAATAGGCTTTAAAAGTTTCTATTTTAAAGTGATTTTAATGTTTGTCTCTTTAGGCTAGTTTAGGCTTGTTGTCATCATAAATAAATCAGATATTTCATTTCATGTTTTATTGGCACAGAGAAAGTTGAATCTCTGCTCACAGTCCACAGGTTCCCAAACCATACTATTACGGTTCAGAACTGCACAGCGCTGATTTATGGCAGGGCACTGGAGCTCTCCAACTGAAGACCAGACCTTATATTCAAAAGCTTCTCCATTTGCCCAAAACCAGTGCCCGGCGATAAAGCGCAGACCAATCCACACATCATCAGTCAGGGCTGCTCTGCTCTTATCTCTTGCCTCTGTCATGAGCTCATCTGAGTTCAGTATGGCCAGATATTTGTAGTTTTGTCTGCAGTATAGCAGGGCCTCTTCCCATGTGCTTTCCTGCTGCACCAAAGTCAGCTCCGAGTCCTCCATACAATAAAATGGTATAGGCCAATTACAATAAGCATCATGAATTTTAGAAGAGGACCTTTTGACAGCACAACAATATTCATCATCATTTTTATTTGGTTGGTCATTGTCCCACTTGATATCATTCGCAACCTCACCCCCGGTCCATGTCCATGTCAATGTCAACCACAACAACCCACTCTTTCTCCTGAGTCCAATCCAATAAAAATCCTCAGTGATCTGAGGATTATCAGAGAGTGTTTGCAGTTCTTCATTACTTACAGTGGACAGGTCATCATAGTTATTCTTGCAGTACAACTGTGCATCTGACCAGCTCATACTGTTATTCACATAATAATGTTTTCTGTTGAGGCTGGTGTTCAGTCCAAAGAGACCCAAAAACAGAAAAAGAGTGAATGTAGCTTTTGTTGCCATATCGCCAATGTATCCAGTGTTTTAACATCAGCAGGAATGTCCAAAGTGAGGATCACAAGTCCAAATTTGTGAGGATTTCTTTCTTATAGACCAGTAAGACAGCCTTGACCAATCAAAGTTTAGTCTCTACTTGTAAGACTCCTCCTCTTGACTCCTTTTTCCTTTGTGTTGCTTTTTATTGGACTCCCCAACCCTGGAGAGTGTCTTCTTTTTATGCTCTGAATGAAGAAAATGTGAACTGACACAAAATAATGCACAAATTCTTTCATGAACAGTATGTCCACCTTTAAGGCAAATCAAATGTTTTTGTATGCTCAAAAACAAAACAAAACAATAATAATTTCACAATCAATTACTATCAATCACAATAAATTATTATTATTGCAGCAGACTGATCAACTATTTATCTGTTCTGACCAACTGTAGATCTTCGCTATATAATGATCAGTGTGCCTAAAAATATTGATAGAGGCAGACTTCTTCACGTTTTGTGTGTTACTTTAATATAGTGTGTTATTGAAACTGAAGAAGTGTCCTTTGAAAAAAAAAGGACCTTTCATGCAAATCAGAGGATGCAAATATTGTTTAACTTCCAAACTAACTGAAGGACAAAATAAACAAATTCAAATTGACCTCAGAAACAGGTAAAGTGCTTCTGAATATGCAAAAGTGAAAATATTTACTGTATAATGTGCATTAAAGTCTTTAATAGGAAAAATGGATATACATTTTGAGGTTTGTAAAGGATTACATTCAGCAGTGTTATTAAAATATGAAATGTTTTTTTAAGAACTTTTAAGAATATCTTTCAGATGATGTTTTCTGTCAAGACCATTTAGTACATATGTTAATCAGAAAAGAGTACATGATCTAATTAAGTTATCCCAACATAATTCAGTCATGTTAACTACTCTTTTTGTCCTGTGTTAATGTTTAGGTTGTTAATGTGCCATTTTTATCAATAAAGCAAATAACTTTATTTAGATATAAAGAGTTTATTTCAGAGATCCATCTGTCTTTTTAAAAAAATCTGAACTTTATACAGTGCATTACAATATACAGTAAAATACAGTGATTAGCAGGGGTGTGCATTCCTGATCCTGGATGGCCAACATGCTGCAAAGTCTGGTGATCCTGAAGACCATGATTAGCTGGTTCAGATGTTTAATTGGGGTTGGAAATAAACTCTGAAGGACTGTGGCCCTCCAGGATCAAGTCTGGACACCCATGAAAGTGCTTATGCACTGTGTACAAACACATAACTATTTTACAACTGTTTCTATTTGAAGGTCAGGAACATCAAAAGCATCACTGTTAACAGTAGACCACAAATAACATACAGTGTTACATCTCACATTTCTGCATAAACATTCAACTTAATTTATCTACAAACAATTGGTACATACAGAGGCACGAGCTGTTTTACTTAAAAATTCTGTCATCATTTACTTTCTCAACAAATGTTCCAAAACTGTAAGAGTTTTCCTGTGTGATTTTTCTTTTTTAAACAATGGAAGTCACTAGGCACCAAAACTGTTGGTTTACCAACATTCTTTGAAATATCTTCTTGTGTTCCACAGAATAAAGTCGTACAGGTTTGGAACAATCATTTCTGGGTGAGATATAATCCCTTTAATAAAAAAACGTCATCCTCTTACTCTTCTACTGTCCACTGAAAACAATTCGTAAAAAACTGTGCAGTACAGTGACAGACGCTCTGAGCAATTTTAGAGAGCTCATGTAGGGGTATAAACTTAAGTAGTCATATGTATGTGTTGTTTTATTATTATTATTATTATTATTAGTTATCATTTATTAAATAGGATGGTGTTTACTTTATGCAAAAAAAAGGAATAATAATTTAAAGTACTGTGTAATGATGCCAATTTGAACATCACCTAGACCTGTATACGCTGGCGGGTGACGCTAGGAGGCGAGGGCAGGGAGCGTCATTTATATATGAAGAAGTCACGCTGCCAGTCACTGAAACACAATTCAATGATAGCTAATTTCTTGCACTGTTTATGTGCTTTACAGAGTGTTTCAGCAATAAAACAATATATGTGCCACCAGAAAACTCCGCCTCTTCTGTGTGTGCAACATAATCATGGCGAGCCAGCCAGGAGAAGCTGCTAACTGGATGATGTGAGAGAGACAGCTCCTCCTCGAGACGAACCTAGAAATAACGGAAGGCTTATTAGTAAAAAGATTAAAGACTGAATAAAATTAAATCCCCCTTTTCCCCTTTGAAACAATGGAACAACTTCAAGACTGTTTTAGCTCCAAGTTTCTGACGCTAGAGAAGCCTGAACTGATAAAAGTGTGCTCCTACCTCAAGTGCAGCGAACCAGCGGGTGAAGGTTTCTCAGGCCAAACAAGGCGAGCGCTGACAAGGCTGAATTTCATCGGGTCCCTTAAGAACCCAGCCGTGCTCGAAACTTTACCGGTAACCCGAGCTGAGATAGAGAAGCTAAGAAAAGAGTATGCAGAATTACAACAGGCACAGGCCAATGCTCGTCGCGCGTTAAAGGAACAGATCGGTCTACTTGAGGGGAAATCTCAGAGAGGAAAAGATGAAACGAATGTGAAAGAGCCAACCACATGAAATGATCAAATCCCTGAAGTCACTCTGAGGAGGGAATTCCGAGTCTTTGGACAGATTGGAGAGGCTGGCCAAAAGGACAAGTTATCATACATGAGCCTTAACAACCAGATCGAATCGGGAGTGAGGAAGGGGTATGCAGAGGCAGAAATTCTTGAAGCAGTTATCAGAGCTGTGAGTCCTGGCCTTCCCCTCAGGGAACTCCTTGAAATAAAGCGAGACCTCCCACTTTCCACATTTAAAACCATCCTCAGAGGACATTATAAAATATACTCTTCATCAGATCTACTGCACAGGCTCATGAACATCTCACAGGAGCCCAAGGAGTCTGCTCAAAGTTTCCTGTTCCGAGCCATCGAACTGAGGGAGAAACTACTGTGGGCATCTGGAGATGAGAAGGATGGAGAACAGTTTAGCCCTGAGCTCATTCAACGGAAGTTTCTCCGCTCGGTGGAAACTGGACTCTTAAATGATGCAGTGAAATTTCAAGTTAAACCATTCCTCAGTGATCCTAAAGTGGCAGATGAAGTGCTAATCGAGAAAATTGGTGAAGCTGCTAATCTGTAACTGGAGAGACAAGCAAAGTTAAAGAAAGCAGTGACTCCAAAGCCTTTCAAACTAAGTGAAGTGCAAGCAGTGGAATATGTCGGTGGCACTGAACGACATGTAAGCAGCGGAGTGGAGACTCAAGACCAGAGGAAAGAGACATTGATGAAAGAGAGTATCCCTGGTAAAGACAAGAAGAAACAGGTACAGGGCAAAGACATCGACAGTGACACCGCGAAAGCAATCGAGGACCTCAGAGCAAACGTCATGGAAATGACCAAAGTGTTCCGAGAGACGATGGAAGCGACCAGATCACAGTTTCATCCCCCCGTGACTCCATTACGAATTGAAAGGAGGTCCAAAGGCTGCTGTTCATGTCAGGAGGCCCAAAGGGGTGAAGAGTGCAGGCACTGTTATCGCTGTGGTCAAGATGGACATCTGTCACGAGGCTGTCGACAAGGGAGGCCAACATCGGGAAACGGGAGGGGACTGCTGAACTGGACCCCCCAGTAGTCTATCCTGTCACTGGGTCCCAATTTAGCTCAGAAGTGCGGCAGACATCCAGACCTGTACGTAGCAAGCAAGACAATAAAGAAAATAACATCCAGCCTGCTTCTCACCAAGATGTGACCACTTCTGTTGACAACTCACTCTTGCTGCACCTAGGCTCGTGAACATCATTGGAAAAAGATGCCTGATCCGTTGTCAAAACAATGACATCACAGTTGAAGCCTTATGGGACACAGGAGCCCAAGCCAGTATTATTAATGCAGACTGGAGAAAGTGATACTTACCACACACCACTGTCAGACCTATTGAGGAGCTCCTGGGGCCGGGAACGCTCACCGGATTAGCTGCAAATCAAACTGAGATCCCCTTTGATGGCTGGGTAGAAGTGAGTTTCCGATTGAGTGATGTTGGAGGCACAGAAGGGACTTTGCAAGTACCCATGCTGGTTACGAGTGATGCTAGTGTAGCCGAAGATCCTATCGTCGGTTACAATGTCATTGAGGAGATAATTGACAGGTGGGAGAAACAGAGGCCACAATCCAGCACTGTCCAAAGGGTGAGCAAAGCTTTCTCCATATCAACAAATAAGGCAAGAATGATGCTTAATCTGCTGAAGACTGTAAATTCAAATGTGACTGTTGGAACTGTCCGCGTTGGTAAACAAAAGATCCAACTCAGCGCAGGGCAAATAACCACTGTCTATGCACGAGCACACATGGGGGGACAATTTCAAGAACAAAGCCTGTTATTCACTCCAAGTGAACCATCACCACTACCAGAGGGTCTAATAATGCAGGAAGGTGTAGTCAAAGTCGGTAAGGAAAAGACTGCAAAAGTGCCAATTGCCATTGCTAATACAGCCAAGCACCCAGTCATACTTATGCCACGACTCATACTAGGCCACCTGGAAGTGATAAAGACAACTTACCCAGTAACGGCAGATTCCTTCCAGAAAAATGAAACTCAGATGGAGCAGGTGATAGAGCAGCCGACATCCACAGTGCAGACATATGGGGTGAGTGTTACATCACAACAGTCAGAGAGACCAGGTCATTGGGATCCCCCAATAAAACTTGAACACTTAACAGAGTTAAAGCCAACTGAAAACTTACCATTTGTCTCGTAGCAATGAACAGGTTCATTTATTTCAGTAATTCAACTCAAATTGTGAAATTTGTGTATTAAATAAATTCAATGCACACAGACTGAAGTAGTTTAAGTCTTTGGTTCTTTTAATTGTGATGATTTTGGCTCACATTTAACAAAAACCCACCAATTCACTATCTCAACAAATTAGAATACTTAAAATAATGACATTCTAATTTATTGAGATGCACCTGTA